TCTTCAGCATAATGCATTTATCAAAGGCAGTAATAAAGTATGTTATCTTCATCTCAAGTTTCGGAAAGACAATGGCAGTTGAAATCATCCGATGAAAAATACAAACTGACTTTTTTTCTTAGCAACAATTCAGTCAAAATTTCACCTGCTGGAATACATTATTTAGTTTTCATTCTGAGAGACCTTTTTTGAAGTCCAGCTTCCTAATTTTTTAGAGAGATATTCCATTGTAGCTGTTTCATTAATTCTCAACTTAATTTTTGCATTCAAGTTTTGGTTGGAGGAGATTATGGGAGGTATTTAAAAAGTGTCTGCTGGTCAGCAAAAATTTCATGAAGCTTTGCTAGCACACGAGCAGTTTTCTGTGAATTAGCGGGTCCTCAAAAAGGTTTGGGAACACTAGTCTGTGAAGTCTAATCGACCCAAAGCTAGGTTGATCGCCGTTCTGTATTTTAAAATTTCCATTTATAGTCTAGAATTTCACGAAATGTTCGACGAATAAAAGAATTCAACACCTTAGTTCGACATGTCGACAATTTTTGCTGACAAGGGACTGTGAAGAAAAAAATGCATTGTTTCTGGGGCGAGAATCGTCGGAGAGAAGCATGCGAAGAGAACGACGCATGCATGCGAATGTCAGCAATCCGTGTCCGTCATCAGCGTGATGCCAAGCGTCACCGCGGAGAGCACTTGAATTATTTTGCACGTATCCGACGACGAGGGACAGGGGCGGCTTTCTGCGAAAACGAATATCCTGGATATGTGCACGTGCCGAGAGGAGAAGCGCGAAAACAAACAACCGAAGCGCCTTTTGGCGAAGGCGTGACGAGAGATTTTACGCACTGTGGGTGCTGATGCCGGTAGCATGAAGAGAACATGTTTGGAATATTGATCAGCGCTAATGATTCCGGAATCGATCCTGAGCATTTTGCGCGGATGATTCCTGACTCGCGGGGACTGAGACACAGGTTTGCCTTTTGTCCAACAACACTCATTTTTTCGGCACTCCTGCATGCGAAACATGCATGCAGGAATTCTCTCTGCTTCGTAAAAAAAAATTGTCGTGCATTATTTTTATAAGTTATCTTACCATGCATAACTCTTGGTGCTTTTCACCCGGTGGTACTTGCTGTGCACGGAAGGACTTCGTCAGGTGGTCCGCGAGATGTCGCTAAGGTACATCGAGGCTTATATGCAAATGAGTGACAGGTGAATTTGAAAAGATCCAGAACATTTGGATAAAAAATTAAAAGAATATCAGCTACATTTTCGCACGATGTTGAATACAGTGGGACCCCGAAATACGTATGCACCGACATACGGACGATTCGACTTAGAGACATACAAGGTAGAAAAATCTGCCCGACATTTGGAAAATGTCTCAAGATACGGACACTTGCGCCATTTCTAGAAACAATTGGACTCAATTCAATTTTTCTATATTTTGATATCTCAAGCGAATTGAGCCATTTGCATTTACAAAAATTAACGACAAATGTCATTATGAAATAAGTAAAATTCATATTCGAAGGAACATCCTGTTTTTTGATTATTTTATCCAGACTTGTTTTTGTTCGTTTCTTGAACTATTTGCGGTGCCAAAATGTCAGATTATGTGTGGTTTTCTTCTGCGCAGTTGATTTCTGTGCCTTAAAGTTGAGAAAGATTTTCTATTTTTCGGACTTTATTCAGGATTTTGATGAACAGGAGAACCAATTAGAAATATTGCAAATTGGTTGAAGTCTATGGGAATAATTGATTCGACATATGGACACTCCTACGCGGTCAAAGCACGAATTGTGTCCGCATCCCAGGTTCCACTGTGTATCCCACGCATTACAAATAAATAAATAACTATTTTATGAGCGATTGTAGTTGCACCCTGCTTCTGGGCGAACATTTGTGGAAAAATAGCTGATCGCTCTACAGAAATGCTGGAAATTTTGACCGGAAGTACGGCTAACAAACATACTCGTATAATACCGTGATTGCATTAGGTTCGCAGAATTTCACATAAATATAAAGGGTACATTATGAAGATTACATGGACTTCGTAACAACTTCAATGAAATACTGGGCAGAAATTGCCTGACGGAACACTACCGGGAATCACCTGGGAGAAAACTCCTCTCGTTGCATTTCCTTCGTCGTGGTTTTCGTCTGCCCTTTTTCCCCCGGACTTCGCCTCTTTCCCTCCCCATGGTCTCGAGCATAAAACGCACTTTCCAGAAGTGTTCTATCCTCCAATATCTCTAAAGGCCCCCTCTCAGTTCTACAGCGCATTTTTTTTGGTAGATAAGTACGTCATTTAATCGAGAAAAAAATCGGTGATATTCCCGTGATATAAGAGTTTGAAGAGCAATTTAAAGCATGTGCTCTCGATATCAGGAGAACGCTGACGTGAATGCCGGCAAAAAAGATATATTCGACACGCGATTATAAATTGGAAGGAGCATTCTTGTCCTGGATATTGAACTCAAAAAAAAAACTCTTTTGAGAGATTACCCGGATATTGAGAATCAGCTTGTTTATGTAACTTTGTTCGAAACATGGGTGCTTGCAATATTCCGCGGAAATTATTTTGAACTGCCCCTGGCAAGCGGCTGCGTCGGCGGTACGAAAGCTAACATTTGCTCAACGGAGAGAAGGGATGTAATGAGTTTCCACCGGTCGACAAATACAATCGCACGCTGACGACATTTGTCGGCTTCATAGTCGCTGACTGGCAGTAGCGTGGTTTCAGCGCCGGGAAACGTGGGAGAGGATCTTCAGTGTTGAATCATTCAACAGAGTGGATTTCCGGAAGCTGACGTTGGGGAACGGCTCCGTTCTCGGGCTTAATCGAGGGAGCAAAACTGATGGAAGTCTAGGTTGCTCAACTTGGCAGGGATGGCCAGAGCTGTCAAGTGAGCTTCTCTTGCGTAATCCCCTGCGATGAGAATAAGAAAAAAGAGGAGCGGGAAGCGAACGGAAGAGACTTTCGCAGAGGTTATCAGCACGAAGTACAGTATGCTGCCGCAATCGATCTGTCGGATTAAGGATCTCACACAGGGGCAGATCTGTTCACACGCAAGGCATCAGCGTCGGAGTGGCGGCGGGATAGGAAAATATGAATCAAGGCACGAAATCACTCCATCTTTTTGCTTCCCATCGCGGTGACGGGAGCTCAGAGCATTCTGCCCGGATAACATTATCGCACGAGCCCGTTGATCAATGAAGCAAACAATGTCGTTGATGAGTTTTCTCCCTCTGAACTCGCAACATGGTTCCTATTCGGGTTCCGTGTCGCGATCCTCGTTTTTTGCCGGCCGCCGGTGGGCTTCGGAACCGTTCCCCTGCTGATTATGCCGAATTTCTGCAAGTCGCGTGCCGAGCACGTGCTCGGCAAATGGGCTCGAAAGACTGACCGCATCAATCAATCAGCAGTGATTGATATTCCCGGAATGGAAACCTATGAGGCGAATCCTAAGCACTAAGTAAGCATGAAGCACTTCCATTAATCACTCACGTCTGGCGTTGAAACTTCATGCGACTCAGACGTTCTGAGCAGGAATAATTTTTACCGGACGATGAATTTTAATTTCAATTCTTCGTGTGATTAATTTCGACAACGATTCGTACACCGAACACAACCAGTTACGAGCCGAATTTATGAGGTTAAATAAAAGTTCGTCGCTCATTAAACACAAACTATTCCACCAAACAACTGCTTTTTAACTATTGCTGAATTTGTGACACAATACTTTGATTACAAACGAGCCCTTCAAAGAAACTTTGAAATAATTGATTACACATCGCACTTTTGCGATACGATTTTTCTCGTCTTGAGTTTCAATTTGAATCAAACCGACAATGGGTAGTTAAAGTTTTCAAAAAAAGTATATAGCACATGTCTACCTTTTAGCCCGTGCATAATATTTTTAGGAATCCATGAACGATGTGCAAAAATAAGGCGGCGAAGCCAATAATTTCCACTACAGAATCATACACTGATATTGGTTCGTCACAAATTTATTCAATCGAAGCCTTCAATGAAGTGCAATACTCAGAACCCATTAGGTTTCTCATCGAGCCCTCAAAGTTCCATGCATGCAAATCACACCAATAAAGCCGAAATCTGCAGTGAACTTCCGTTTTAACCATGATGATGTTTCGCTTCTAAATTGCTTTTTAAAAGAAAATGATTCTCATCAGAGAATCATTGTTGATTTAATTGTCAGAGCGAAACTTGAGACTTTGACGTCCATTATTTTTGATCGAAAATATTCCAAATCTATGATTTACTTTCGTGATGGATCACGTCCCCTGACCTTGATAACATCTTGAAATGAATTGATTCACTCTGAGAGTTTTTTTTTAGTGGCATGAAAACACGTGAAAACCTATTTCAACCATAACACTGTGACTTTAATTCTCTTGATATCGATCCATCACTATTGATGCGGTTTAATGAGCGAGAAATAGTGCGAATAAGTCGCGGACGAAACGATTCAAACGAAATCGATGCTAGCCGGCAATCGGTCACTACGAGAATAATGAAAAAAAACAAACAATGGATTTCATCTTTACGCGGAACATTTTCTACGTATTTACAGTGTCCATCGAAACCATAGAAGACGAAGCATGGTTGACCCGGTTTTCGTCTAGCTAGGATAAGCCTAGGCACCGTCCGTTTTTTTCGTTCGATATTTCATATTAAAATAAAGAACTAGATCACGTTGCGTACTGTACCGTACATTGACGCACCCGAGGCGCGGTTTCTCAAGTACAGTAATAACAGCGCCGAGATGAGCTTCCGATGTCTCCACTGCGACAGAATTATCCCACGAGCGAGACTTACACGTCATAACAATGCGTGAGCACTGAACACAGGTTGCGAACAAGAGGAAAGAACACGCGGAACGCGAAGGAAACAAGGGGGAGAAACGCGAGATAGCAACTCGGAACGAAACGGAATAGAATCGCAGGACAGTTTTTTTGCCTCACGTAACGAACCTAATTCATTCCGTCGAGTAGTTCGTGGCATGGGACGTTTTATTTTTTCGAAACACACGCATATAAGGAAGGATTTGATGCGTTATGAATTTATGACTGGAAAATAAGAATACTTGTAGAAAAACTTGAATTAGAATCCACGGAACAGGTCATCATTCACAGTCTTGCATCAGTTGGTCTCACTCAACAGCGCATTTTCTGGCATATTGGCATATTTCTTCGATGGTCATGTCTCAAAATCTAGAAAAGCGCGAATAAAAGTGATAGATATCCGTGAATGAGATTACAGTACACTCATTTTTCTGAATTTTAACCATTTCAAGAAACGATTGTGCTCACGTAACACATTTAACCAGTTTCATGGCAGCCACACCCTAAACTGCAGAATATATTTTTTACAATCAAGACTCAAAGTCGGTATAATTTTCTGTACGCCTGCAATTCACTATAAATGTGTGAGTAATCACATTTTTATCTCGAACCATTTTTCAAGCCCCATAAAAGGTACCGATTATTTTACACCGCAATTTAAATTATACTTTATTCCGAGACAATCTTGAATGCCACCATAGATTTTATAGAAGATAGAAGAACCACCAGCAGTTGAAAAGCACTGGTCTACGGGAAATAGCTCATTGTGAAGGAATCATTTTCAAAATAAAATCTGCATTAGCTGAATTAAGCACCACTGCTGCACAGCAATGTATTCACAAACCAATGAATAGTCCGAGGCAATTTTCAAGAAGGTAAAAGTTTGTTATCTGATTCATTGCATGATGCACTTATTGCATAACTCATTATACGAAGCACCATTTCCCTGTACAGCATTCACACGGCAATGCATTTGCTGATGCATTTTCCAGGAAAACACGGGGTTGTTACATTTGATCACGTCGTTTGCTGTATGAGTAGTTATTTTCTTTGGGAAAACGCACGTTCATTTTATGAATCTTATTTGACTGTACATTAGTCAGATACCAATCAATTTTCTGAGGTATATTTCAGGGGATAACGCTGATTTGTCAGAACAGGACGGTTGGCTTGTTGCATGAGCATTATTATTAATTTTTCATGGAAACGGGCTTCAATCGTATTAAGCTTCACTCACTGAAGTCACCGTACAATACTGCACTCACGAAGTGATGGATTCGCTGAGGTAATTTTCATGAAAACACGGGTTTGTTATTAATGTTAGTAGGATGCGGTTTGCTGTAAGAGCATCACCTTTCTTCAGGAAAACGCACGTTCATGGATGACATGAAGCACCACTGACAGCAGAGTACTCACGCAGCGATGGATTTGCTGAGCGGCACGCGCTCGATGCCGACTTGCTGCTTGAGATTCTCGATCTGCATCTTCAGCGCGTCCTTGTCAGTCATGATGCCCGAACTCCGACTCCGTCACTGTTCCGAAACGAGAGCTATGCTGATTTCACGGACCTGAATTGCAAACGAAAAGATTTCGTCAGCGGGGCTCGTCCCCGGGTCGACATTTCGGAATCACAGCTATAGCCGGCCGGTCGTGACGCGCAGACCGGTGACTCGGCCAAGTTCGACGGGAGTCTGGCTGCAGCGGCTGTGGCGGAGCGCGATCCCCCTTATCGGCACGGGCTAGCGCGAGAAGGGGGGATCAAACTCGCGCGGTCGCTGTCCCGTTCGCAGTTCCACGCCGGAATATACGCGAGTCTGGCCTGGGGTGGCGTCTGGCGAGGCAACCCGGCCCGACCTGCTGCTGATGGGGTCCACGACTTTGCTCTGTTCTGCCCAGCTCTGGTCTGGTCTGCTCAGCTCTGCCCTGACTCTGTTCCCGCGCCGCCCGCAGTTCAGCATGCGGCCATCCCCGCGCCGCCAATTGCTTCAATTAACGCGGCATGCATAATTGAAGAAAGAAAAGGAAACAAGACATGATTGCTCCGCCTAGCTTGACTTTTCAAGCGCTGGTTCGTGGACCACGGGATTGCCTCGGAGAAAACCGAATCAAAAGTACAAAGTGTTGGTCATAAGACTGCGATGATTACGACCTAAATTGAAGCTAAAGGAAGGAAAGGTTCATCGGGTGTTTTATTGAAAGAATAATAATTAAACATTTTGATCTCAGTTAACACTAATACTCTAATGTAGTGTTCCCGAACATTTTTGGGCCTGCACACTGGCAAATATCCGTACATTTTTTAGGACTGGCAAAATTCCTTGAAATTTTTGCAGACCAGCAGATATTTTGTTAAAACCTACCATAAAGCCCTACAATCAAAGCTTTTATTTTAAAAATGAATAAGTTAAGAACCAATGAAGCAGCTACAGTGGACTGTCTTCAAGTAATTTGAAAGTTGTGCTTCAAGAAAGGTTTCTCAGAATGAATACCTAAAATAATATACTTCAGCAGGTGACAATTTGTAATAAATGTTAATACAAGAACCAACTTTTTTTCCATCTGGTAATATCAACTGCCATTGCCTCTCCAATTTCAGATAAAGATAACAGACTTCATCACTAACTTTGATAAATTTATAATGTGTGAGAAAATTGGCTGCAGATTTGCAAAAAAAAAAAACTTCTCCAGATTGACGAACACAGGTTGCAGACAGCTGCTCTAATTCTAATAAACGCTAGGCCTCAGAGGATATTGTAAAAAAATAGCGACCAGTCTCTAATATTAGCCAGGTTTAGAAACATTCTGTTGCAGGTTGACCTTGTAAAACAATCCTCGAGCCAAATAGAAGAATACAAAAGTAAAAAAAACTAAATTACGACTCAATTGAATATATAATTAAATCGATTTTTATGAAAGTAATGGGTGGTCCCTAACAGATTCCCCTGTTTAATGACCATTAACGTAATATCTTTCATTGCACAAGTTTAAGCCACGGTAGTAAAGTTAGTTGAAGTACGAAGATGCATGGCAAAATAGAGGTACGGAAACTGGCTTGAAGTTATGCAAAAAAATCAAACTGTTTCTGCTAATAAAATTCACAACCTAGATGGAAAAGTTAGGCCTAAATCAGTTGTGCATGCACAATTTGCTGTACATGGGACACTGGCCAGATGGTATGAATTAAATATAATAATATTACTGTACTGTTATGATAATGCATCTATGAACAATGAATTCCATGTGTTCGTAGTTCGTACTGTATATCTGTGTAAGATTTCAGCCATGTAAAATATTTGCCGTTTCATTCCCAAGAACCTATACGCAGCCAAGACTTATAGATATTGTATAGGCTTTTTTCATCCTTTGAGCATTTCAAGTATTGAAACGTTCGAATGGTTGCAATTAAAAAAAAAAATTATATTGATCTCAAGCACGGTTAATTTTACTTTTTTTTTTTGCCTTGGGAGGGGCTCATTTCCTAGGATTAAATCGAGAAGTTATTATGAAATAGTCGGTCCCTAATCACCAAGAAATCAACGGAAAAGCTGGGGAACTGAATGGTGCTGCAAAACACATCAGTCGAATATTGAAAGTTTTTCAACCCAGGAAAAATGCCATCATCTTTGCCTCGGCTTTTCAACCCATCACATTGCATGGCCTATCAACTGGGACATTTCGGCTTCTGGATAATTATGTCAGTACTGTAGTTTCATCTCAATTTTTACAAAAGGGAGAATTTAAAAGAATATAGACCCCATGTCAATTGTCCGTTGTGGTTATTTACTCTGCCATTGGGTTAGCATTTTTTTGCCGAGTCAATTATCATCACAATTCTTAAAATCTTACGAGGCACTATGGTGGTACACAAATATTATTTTCTTCTAAACTAAGAAAATTCGACGATAGGCGGAAAACTGAATATTCCATTACAGCAGGCGCATGAAAAGGAGCCTCTGATTTCTCTCCGAAGGGTTGTGAAAAGTGTCGAGAATTGTTCATCAGACAAGTCCCTTCTCGAATCTCCTTGAAGAAGCCACTTTGGTGTACTCCATGACACCACGAGCGAAAGCTCGTGAAATAATCATTTGCACTTCCATTTGGCCGTCGGGATTTAAACATTCAAGTTTCGAAAAGTGCCAGCAACAATGCTGAGTCTGCAAATCAGCATAACTGAGTATTAGACAATTGCAAAGAGCACTCCGAAGCAAAACATTTTCCTGCGCAAAAAGGGATATAAATGTGGAAATTATTCGAATGCTTCCGAAGGAAGAACAATATTTCATCAAATTATTTTCTATTTAATTCATTATAGCGTGCATCCACTCTCGCAAACATACACATACACACACACACACACAAACGCCGATAGAGAAAGAGAAAGAAAGATTACGACCTCGTGCAGAAAGAGAGAGAGAGAGAGAGAGAGAGAGAGAGAGAGAGAGAGAGAGAGAGAGAGAGAGAGAGAGAGAGAGAGAGAGAGAGAGAGGGAGAGAGAGAGAGAGAGAGAGAGAGAGAGAGAGAGAGAGAGAGAGAGAGAGAGAGATTTTGGCACAGGCCAACGCTTTTCAACCTGTACCTTGATAATACCTCGTGCAGCAGCAAAACATGGAAGAGTTGTCTTACAACCCCCCAGAGTATCGAGTGCATCAAGTAAAATTTGATTGAAGGAAATATATTTTTCTTCTTTTTTAAAAATTCAATTCCCCACTCCAACAAATGGGACTCAGATTATTAATATCAACTTTTATCTTGACCTTCCGGGAATCATAGTCGTGAATTCTTTTAATGTCATGGTACGTCTGTCTCATGTGTCTGTCACATTCTGATTAAAAGCCAAGCTATAATGTTCACTTTTTTTTTTTACCAGTCCTTGTAAAATTATGTCTACAGCAGGTAGACCTGTACAAAGTGAAACTCGACAGGTGTATCGTACCTCAGGTTCAAAAAACATTCTTGGGCAATAGATAGAACGGAAGTAGGTTCACACACTTGAGGTCATAGCCGAAAGTGTACCGTACTAGAATCATACTTGGCTGTCAAAGAATAGTCGTTGAAGATTTTAGACATTGACCTAATGTTCTTTGATTTTGGTTGGCGCATCAAGGATTACTCAGCACCCAACCCAAGTGATATCCATGTTTTTCCCCGGTATAGAACAGATCAGAATACTGTACATTCAAATGAGCCTCAGGATGTGAAGCCATAATCCTCCACTTCCGCAGGCGGGCTCAAGGTTTATTTTTTTATTCATTGCAGGCATGATCATTTTTCTGGTTCCCTGAGACAAAAAGTAACTTCTATGCGAACACGTTTTACATTCCCCTCGCTGGCGTCTTTGTGACTGGTCATACATAATTTTAAGAGCCCCCCCCCCCCCCATATATGTGGATTCAATTTAGTGACGCAGCGGATTCTACAGGGTGGATACAAATTATTCACATTTATAGGTTACGCACAAAACCGCTTTTCAAATAAACATTTCTTTGTTTAACTGGCCACGGTGGCATCAATTCTGTGAGCCACAAAATTGGATACAATCCGGAAGGAAATAACATGCATTTGAATGCTACTTTTATTTGATGATACTGTAGTCAAAGCCTCAAACCATTCAAGACGTGTTTTTGTATAAACTTGGAGGAGTAGTACACCATCTTGTTATATCCTTTACAAAGAGGGATCTGTGAATGATAATTCGAAAATATTCAGGTCCAAACAGGCGAAAAACTAAAATATTTCATGGAAAGAAGGTACCTTTCTGGTTTAAAAAAAAAGTTAACGTAATGGAAAACTCGCAAAAAATTGCACCAAATGCAGTTGAGAAACCTTAATTTTGCGCAGTTCCATCTAAGAACTTATTACAGTAGCTTCATGTTTTCAACAAAAGTTATCTAGAATACTGTTTCGTTCCATGGGAGTTTTTACCACGGAAACAGCAAATGCAAGTTTTCTTTCCGAAGGAGTTCATCCAGCGTTCTCGGAGAAATAAACTCCAGCGAAAAAAAAAAAGAAAACTTGTGGAATGTCAGTCGATCCTTTTGACATTTGAAGTTCCTTCGTTCAGTCGAGAAACGCGAGTGAAGGAGCTCTGTTTCTGCGGCTCTGGAACATGCTAACGGTTGTTGACGTCCTCGCACTCAACATGCTAGAGCTCATCGTGCAGGCGTGTGACATGACCTGGAGCCAACTCATTCAACATTCCTGCAATCCAATAATATTTTCCACGAGATTACAGGCAGTGCATTTTTTCCTGCTTTTTTTTAGGTCGATGAAAGAATGCTAATTTGATTTTCGTGACAAACTGCAGGCTGAGTGTCTCTCAACAAATTAAACATCTTCGTAAAAACGCTATGACAATGCCTTATTCTGTACGTATTAGAACAAGTTACACTCCTCAGTAAAAATTATCAGTAAAGCAAACGGCGAGCAGCAAAAGACAAACAAAAAATGAACGCGGCATGTTGTTTTATTTGATACTATACTGACAGATTGTTACTGTTAGACCCACGCGTAGTTTGAGTGAAAGAAAGCGTCTTGAATTTTATGTGGTCCATGTACTCATGAATTCAAGGTTTAGTTAACTTCATTT